ATATAAATTGTAAATAATAATAATAATAATAATAATAATATTTAATGATGTATAACATTTTGTATTATTAATAACAATAATATATTATAAATAATTTAATATTATTATTAAATTATTATTAATATTATATTAATATTGTTATTATTATTGATATTTTATATCTAAAATACAATGTTATAATTAAAAGAAAAATAAAATAAAGGCTTTATAAATATTAATTAAAATGTGAAAAAAAAACATTAGTGACAGTAATGATTTCTTTATATTTATGAAGCTTTATATATATAATAAATAAAACAAATAACAAAACAAAATGTTATATTTAAAATAATAATATTATTATTATTATTATTATTACTACTACTGTTATTAGGATAGTTGTTCTACAAACAAAAGGAATCCTTTGCACCCTGAACAGATGGGAATTGAAAGCTTCATAAAATAGTTGCTGGCAGATTGCCGGCCCCTGTGGCAGACGGAAAGGTTGAACTAACTTATAGCTGCCATTAATGATTTAACATGACCCCAAGAAAGATCAGTCCCGTCGATATTTCTCACTCCTCACACAGGGGTGCAGCTGGCCCAGGTGAAGTGCCGTCTGAGATGGCAAGAAGGGGAAGGAGAGGATGAGAAGAGGTGTAATAGACATCCTTCACAACTCTCATGTTGAGGGAATAATAGATCAAAAACCCGTCTGGCTCAGAGACCAGACTACAAAAAAATTCATTCTAATCCTCTGTAATTTTAGGACATCGAATGAGGTTAGAGGTGGTCAGTTCATCTAAAGAATGAGTGTGATGCAACTAATGATGTTAATGCCATTAAATGCAAGAAACTCATAAAATGGATATGTAACAAAGTCAGAATGCAGGTTTTTTTTTTTTTTTACACTTTAAATTGCCTACTGCAACAGAGGCTTTTTGTTCTTACATACATGCGAACCACACAGTTCAGATCTAAAAACAACTATTTAATAGATGTTCTCTCTGTGTGCATTGTTCGTTTGACAGCTCTGAAAGAGGCCTGTGTGCATCGCCGTTGGACAGGATC